GGTTTAGGGTTTAGGGTTTTCAGCCTCTTCGTTTCCGAGCGTATCGCTTTCGCCAGGGGCTCGACATTTTTCAAGGCTGGCTCAGAGCCACGCAGCTGAGCGGTTGCCCAAAGGCAGTTTGAGAGGTGCTGTGGCGTCATCTCATGCACTTTCTCAGGCAGGCGCTCTGCCAGAGCTGGTAAAGCCTCAAGGAGCTCAGGCATGCTAATCCTGAGACGCGCCATGGACCAAAGGCAATTCGACAGCTCCTGCGGCTTCAGATCCGCAGCTCTCTCAGGCAGAAGCTTTGCTACTGCGACTGCCACCTTCCTCAGCACCTTCTGCAGAGGCTGCGAGGCTTTTTTTGAAGTGCTTTGAAGATGTGCTGCGGCCCAGAAGCATTGGGAAAGGCCCTGGTGCTCTAGTGATGCAACCCGATCTGGGATCTTTCTCCCAACAACCTTGGCGAGACTCAGCGCCTCTGGTGCCACATCCTTACTTCCCCAGGAAGTCAGGGAAATAAAAGGTTCAACTTTCANNAACCTACCCAAATCTATGACTCGAAAATGCACGCCGCCAGGGCGTACGATACTGAAATTATAAGAACCCAAAAAATGTGAGGGTTGGGTATTGGAGAACTAAGCATCTGCCAGATGCGCACAAGCCCAAAAGCAGGTGCAGAGCTCTCGGGAACTCATCTTGGACGTCTGCACTGCCTTTGTAGCTCTTGGAGGGAGAACCCTAAACCCGAAACTGTAGAACCCTTTGTGTATACATCTCAAGCCCTCAACCCTTATAGTTGCTCTTCTTTGACAATGAATTCACCACTGCATCCTTATTTTTTGTATGCCCTTCTAAACCCGTATGAACTCTTTATTTTGCCTCACAAGCTCTCTTAATGGACCCTAAGCCCTTACAAGCGCTAAACTAAAGCTGAAACCCCTATCAACTCCACCCCTACACCCGTGTAAACCCTAAACCCGAAACCTCATAAACCGTAAGCCCTTATCAGCCCAGAGGGCCTGAAAGAACTCGATTAATCAGGCAACATATCCGAAACAAGAGGGAGATCCTTGTTGTGACTTAACCTGTAAAGCAGTCCATGCCTCAAACCATGATCTTGCTCCCTCTACCATGATAACGGTACCCTTGTCCTACTATTCGTATTAATAAGGACCCTAAACCAAAACCCTAAACCCTAAACCCTAAACCCTAAACCCTAAACCCTAAACCCTAAACCCTTTTTTACTACTATTCGTGTTAATAAGGACCAGGTATGATGTTTAATCAAAGGGTGGAGTCTCTGCACTTGACACCCTTGCAAACGGGGCTTCCTAGGGATTATAGTTTAGGGTTTAGGGTTTAGGGGATTATAGTAACCAAAAACAAAATAAACAAACAACTATTTCCAATTCATAGAGGGGTCCTAATCATTAGAATAGGGTTTTGGGGCATGTTCTACTGTAACTATATGAAGGACGCCCCAACATAGTAATTATAGGTAATTATTTGGACCCCAACATTAGAATAGGGTTTTGGGGTATATTTTACAATAACTATAAGAAGGAAACCCCAAAATAGTATAGGTAGGTATTTAAGACCCCTAGATTACCCCAAAGTCTGGCTGCCTTTGTAACTCTTGGGAGGATCTCGCGTAGTTTCGCAATGAGCGAGGAATCCAGCCGCTTCTGCTGAAACTTCGCCTGGACTGTTCAGTGACCCACAGAGTTTGGGGTGTAATTAGGGTTTTGGGTTTAGGGTTCTGGGAAAGTCTATGCTTTTGGGGTTATAGTTCTCCCTAAACTCTAAACCCTAAACCCTAAAACGTGTGCAACTGAACAGCCCAGTCGCCAGGCGCCTTAGCAAAGCTGCCAAGTTGGAGCCGCTGAGTCCTTAGTTGCCGAGTTAGGGTTAGGGTTTAGGGTTTAGGGTTTAGGGCTTAGGGTTTAGGGTTTAGGGTTTAGGGTGTAGGGTTTGGGGGTTAAACGTTTCACCAAACTAGTCTAAGAACTCCGTTGTAGGGAGAGTTAACCATAAAATCGCAAGAAGTTCATGAAGTGTGCTTTAGCTGCTAGGGAGAGTTGGCGAGCCCCAAAAAAGTTCATAAAGGCTGCTAGTTCAGCTGCGAAGTGTCTGTCCAACTCATCGTTCAGGATATCCAGAAGAGCTGGAGCTGTCTCAACCTGAAGAACGCAAAAAGACCTTCTCTGTCCCACAATATGTGTATATATATATATATATATATAGGGTTTAGGGTTTAAGGTTTAGGGAATATATATATATATATATATATATATGTATGTATATATATATATATATATGTGTATAAAAAAGTATGTATATGTATATATATATATATATACACATACCTGTGACCCTACACTGTCCGTTGTAATTACTCTCTTTGGTTTGCTGACTTCTTCGTCACAAGGTCCCAGCCATTGGGTTTAGGGCTTAGGGTTTAGGGGCCAAACACTCTTGTTGCCCAATCGGAGGCCTCAAAAGGCGGGATGAAGGTCGGTAGGACTAAGGAACCCTTATATGAGACGGTTTAGGGTTTAGGGTTTAGGGTTTAGGGTTTAGGGTTTAGTTTAATCCCACCGTTGGACCCAAGGTGCTGTAATCCGTGGCGTCAACCGCGCTGTTGGAGTAACATCCTCTTGGCTGACTTCTGAACCCCACCTAAAAGCTAAACGTTCAGCTACTTACTATATTTCATATAGAAACCCCCATAAGTTAAAGTCCTAAGAGCCGACCAGAAACCCTAAACCCTAATAGCCTAAACCCTAAGCCCTAAAACTCTGAACCCTAAATCCTAAACCCTAAACCCCTAAACCCTAAAACTCTAAAGCCCTAAACCCTAACAATAAAACCCTAAACCCTAAAACTCTAAAACCCTAACACCCTAACCCATGAAATTCTAAACCCTAAAACTCTAAACCCTAAACTCTAAAACTCTAAAACCCTAAACCCTAAACCCTAAACCCTAAACTCTCAAACTCTAAAACCCTAACACCCTAAACCCTAGCCCTTAAAGCTCTAAACCCTAAAACCCTAAACCCTGAACTCTAAAACTCTAAAACTCTAAACCCTCAAAATCTAAACACTAAACCCCAAACAATACAACCCTAAACCCTAAACTCTAAAACTCTAAAACCCTAAACCCTAGAAGAAGGCCGAGTCCTGATGTCCAAGGCCCGGTCCACGCGTCAAGACAGCGAAGAGCCTCGGATGCCATGCCGCCAAAGCAATGCAACCGAGCCAGAGGAAGCTCCTGTTTAGGGCTTCTAGGGTTTAGGGCAGGGGGTTTAGAGTTTTAGGGTTTTAAGGTTTAGGGCAGGGGGTTTGGGGTTTGGGGTTTTAGGGTTTAGGGCTTTAGGGCTTTAGGGTTTGGGGCTTAAGGTTTAGGGTTTAGGGTTTTAGGGTTTTGGGGTGTGGGGTTTAGGTCAGGAGGTTTAGGGTTTAGGGTTTGGGTTTTAGGGTTCAGGGTTTTGGGGTTCAGGGTTTCAGGGTTTCGGGTTTAGGGCTGCGGGGCTTTGGGTTTTGGGCTCAGAAGCTCCTCTTGTGCCCAAGCAGTGATCGCATGGTAGCTAGGACGCCTATCCTAGACCGGAACTTGGGAACGATTCGATCCTGCAAAGGGCTGCAGCATGACACAAGTAGCCACACCCAGAGACTCCAAAGCCCATTTAAGTTAGGTTTAGGGTTAAATTATAGGGAAGTTCATATTGCGATTCAATAAGGGGTCCATATTATGGTTTGAAGTAGATGTAGATTTGTGTTTTATTAGGGATGTGGAGTCTCTGGGGACATGGTGCCGGGCGCCCAACGAACCAAAACAAGTAGAATCAAACATCCTAAACCCTGAAACACCCCCCTAAACCCTAAACCCTAAACCCTAAACCCTAAACCCTGAAACAACCCAAGGAGCCTCTCGGCTAAATCCCAGGAAGAGCCCTCAACAGACTTTCCTTGGCCACCTTCAACTACCACAGCCTACATTAGGGTTTAGGGTTTAGGGTTCAACTACCACAGCCTACATTAGTCTAAGGTTGAAGCCATGAGCCTCTTGCATGGGCCCTTAACCCGGGGATCCTTCTACACCTACTATATACCCTCTATATTGTACCCTTGAGGGTCCCTTGAAGGCCTAAGGGTCCATATTGGGGCCCATACTCCTAACCTTTTAATAAGGTTTAGGGTTTAGGGTCTAGCAGCTTTCGTTGATCTTAGAGTAGGGTTTAGGGTGTAGGGTTTCTTTGAGTAACAGGAACCCTCAGGAAAAATATGTGCTTCTTCAGGCTTCGTATGTTACTCGCTCGGGATTCCCGTAAACTCACTCGCACAGGGTTCGCATGGGGTTTAAGGTTTAGGGTTTAGACTTACATTTCAAAAATATCTAGCTTATCGTGCGTGGTTTGGAGCTGTCAGACTGGAGCCCTAAACCCTAAACCCTAAACCCTAAATTAAAAAGGCTTGCCTGCATCGCTTCTTGCTCCTGCTCGTCGATCTGTGCAAGGAGACGTAACCTTCCGTCTCGGGTTTAGGGTTTAGGGTTCAGGGTTTAGGGTTTTTACCCTAAACCCTAAACCCTTTTATAGTTAAAAGGCTGGAGACCTGACAAGTGCTGGGATTCCCTATACTTTCCAAAACCCTAAAACCCTAAACCCTAAACCCTAAACCCTAAAACCCTAAACCCTAAACCCTAAACCCTAAACCCTAAAGCCTAAACCGTTTACCTTAAGGCCATGAGGAGAATGATGCTCCAACTTTCTGGCTTCTACTCTACGCTCAATCTGTGCACGGTAAAAGGTTGAGGTTTAGGGTTTTAGGGTTTTAGGGTTTTGGGGTTTTTGGGTTTTCGGGATGTAGGGGGCTTAGGGTTTAGGGTTTTAGGGGGTTTTAGGGCTTTAGGGTTTTAGGGTTCAGGGTTTACCTCGTAGCCTAAACCGCAAACTCTATACCCTAAACCTGCAATAGTTGGGTGTCCCCAAAAGGCCTGTGGA